CATCAACGACTACTCGTTTCCGCCAGATGGCTCGGTGAACGATTACACGGATCGGAGTGACCATTCTCCGATTTTATACAATCCACCAAGGGCCATCGCACGGCCAATCTATCAGCGCAAAATGCTGGGTCGGTCCTCACAAATGCTGTTGAAGCTTGGTGACGTGGCTGGTGCATTCCGCCATGTATCGATCAACGCAGAGGTAGTACACATGTTCTGCTTCCGGAATAAGGACGTTCTGGTGATCGAGCTCGCCTGCGGGTTTGGGTGGTGAGGATCTCCATCATACTACGCAGTCGTAGGTAACCTGGTCGACCATTACTACCAGTTCGGAAGCGGAACGGCTCGGAAGTTCACTGACAACGTGTGGTGTGATGATCACACATGCATTGAGATTGATGAAGGAAGCCGATCGTTTGACGCCAACATCTCACTGCAACGCGCAATGGCCACGGTATTGGGCCCATCGTCCGTAAACGAGCTGAAATTCACACCGTGGGCAACTGTGAATAAGGCGCTAGGTCTTATGTGGAATACCGATTACGGTTGTGTTCCATTCCCAGTAAAAACATTCAAAAGGCCACTAACAGGGTCACGAGGCTGCTATCCAGCAGCACTACCATGAAGACGTCAATCCTCAAGGTCTTGGGAAGACTTCGACACGTAGCAAGCTGCTCTCGGCCCGCTCGAGCCTTCTTCCAGCAACTTCAAGCCAGTGCTAACACGTTACCGCGATTTGGTCAGCGAAGGCTCCCCACTGCAGCACGAGATGACTTACGATGGTTTCGCGCCGTCCTTCATCTTCCGGAGCGCTTTAACTCCATACCTGTAGCCCTGTTTGCAGATTCATCCGATCCGGTGGTTCACGTCTTCATGGGCAAGCGGTGAAGGTCTCTGTGCACTGAAACCAACTCACAAACGGTTTCTTCGTCACAAATTCTCGTTACGGGAGTCACAGACACTCTCGATCAACGTCCGAGAGCTGCGTAGAGCCGTGCTGGCATTTTTGCATTGGGGGCCTATGTGATGCGATCCGCACGACCGACTCCACCGACACGTGCAGTTCCACATCGACAACACATCAGCGGTGACGTGGGTGAATCGGCGTTCAAGCAGGCACCCAACTGCACAATTATACCATCGACTTCTGTCCCTGGCTGAGTTCCAGCATTACCTCGGGTGCACGGCATCTTACATTCCGGGGAAGCTCAACGTCATGGCGGACGCTGGATCAAGTACATGGGGTGACATAATCTCGACACAATGGTCTAACTTCTCTGCTTCATGGTCACAGGATTACATCGACTCTTTCTTTGACGATCTATCGGCCGTATGGGAGCGTTGCTGCTCCGCCACTCCCTGGCAATCTCTACCCATACCAAGTATCGCGCGCACTGGCATGCTTTACAAAAAAATGGGATGGTCTCGATGGCTCAAGCCGACAAACGCCGCTCGCCGATTCGGATACTTCGCAGCATACTGCTGGGCGGAAGGTAGCAAACGCCATCACGTCGGCAACAAACACAGCACAATCGTCTTGAAAATGGCCAGCGTCATGCGGTTTCACCGGCGGTACCGGAATCGGTTGATCACAAGTAGCCCCCGGCTCACCATGCTACTGCAAGGTATCAAGCGGTTTTCGGTGCCAAAATGCAAGAAGCAACCAATCACCGTGTCATTTCTCCTCCTACTGGACCGCGCTCTCGATCTTGCTCGATCGCGACAGTGCCTCCTGTGGGGAAGCATACTCATTGGATACTTTTGCATGCTCCGGAGATCCGAGTATCTGCTGATCGGGCGAACACGGCACTGTTACTGTCTCAAGACCAGCAACACCTACTTCTCTGGAAAGAATGGCAAGCCGGTGAAGTACGCACTCGCGACATCAGTCACAATCGGACTCGAAGGCGCCAAAAATGACCAATTTAGGCGTGGAGCCTGGTGGACCATGCACGTGTCTGGCGATCATGTAATATGTCCACTGCGCCGCCTGTACAACATCATACAAGCACGA